GCCGTGAGTTTTAAGCCACCGGGCCCAGTACGCGAACCGTGGTCGACTACGTGGGAGTCCAGCGACATAGCCATTACGCTAACTGCTGGTTCCTCCTCCTTTATATTTTGATAATTTAAAAAATGATGTGTCTTAAGTTTTTGAGGCAAAAGACAGAAAGTAGCCATATCTCCATATTCTAAATGTATATGTGTGTATTTATACTTTTTCTGTTGAAATATTTGAGCTCTTTCTACACCTCATGATACTTCACCTCTATATTTATTTTTTACCATGTATCTCCTAAGAACAGGAATATTCTACTGGGACCATCAGTTAGCATAATGGCTATGTCGCTGGACTCCCATGTAGTCCACCATGGTTCATGTCCTGGACCCAGTGGCTTAAACTTACACCGGGTGCGTGTGTGTGCGTGCCCAAGATCCCGAGAGGAGAATGGAGGAGAAGGGATTGTGGTGTGGCCATCCCCCCTGCGGGGTGATTTCTCGCTTTCTGTCTCTCTGTCTTTGTCTGTCTGGTGAGCGCATGCACCCTATAGCTGAAAAAAAAAAATTCTACTAAATCAAAATGCAATGATCAAATCTTAACTTCACTCAACATTTGTATGATGCTATTATTTAATATACAGTTCAAATTCAAATTTGTCCATCTGTCTTAATAATGTCTTAATGTGTTTTGCAGATATTATTTGATAAGGTCGATACTGCATTATGAAGGCTCATTGCAATTTGGCACTTACTTTCAACTCTGGTCTCTGACCACTATCCAAGTTCTAAATCCTCCAAATCTCTATACTTGTCACATGTTGTTCCCTCTGCCTTGTCTTAAGGAAATAACTTTCACAACTGTTTAAATTGTGTTCTCATGCTAGCACAAACATCTTGGACTTTATCAAGAATTTGGGACAACATTTTTGTCCTTTTTCATATATGTGCAAGCTCTGTCTATGGTATTCATCCTATTTTATTTTGTCTGTCATTTCTCCCACTAGACTATTAACCATATAAATTTATAAGGTCTTGCTTATCTTCACATGCCCTGTATCTTGCCTCATAGGATATAATGGATTCTCAATTAATGCCTTATTGAGTGAATAAATAACACGGGAGGAATGTTTTGTTCAAATGAATGCTTGATAAATATTTGCTATATTACAAATGAGATCAAGAGCCTAAAGCTTTGATTAACTTTGCTATTGTCATTGAAAATGAATCTGAAGTCACATTTAGGGTTGCAATTCCTCAGATAGGAGTATCATGATGAAGAGACTCACCAAACTCAGTTGGTACATTTATTAAAAAATACAGATAGCAAATCAGTCTATCCTAAGAAAAGGACCTAATGAATCATATTTCTGAAAAAGGAAGAGTTATAATTCTTAGGAATAATACAGTAGAAGATGATTACATGTTAATAAAGTCTCACCTTTCCAACTAATGCAGGAATATTCATTGAGTTAGTTGCAAATCCCATCCCAAAGACCATAGCTGCTTCTTACTTTTTCTGTTGAAATATTTGAGCTCTTTCTACACCTCATGATACTTCACCTCTATATTTATTTTTTACCATGTATCTCCTAAGAACAGGAATATTCTACTGGGACCATCGGTTAGCATAATGGCTATGTCACTGGACTCCCATGTAGTCCACCATGGTTCATGTCCTGGACCCAGTGGCTTAAACTTACACCGGGTGCGTGTGTGTGCGTGCCCAAGATCCCG